TTGTAGCTCTCTCATTTTTGAAGACAGAGGTAAAAAATCTATCATCAGTATAACCTAAAATTTTAAACATACAGAGTAAAAAGGGGAGAATATATAAAGGGATTTTAAAAGTGAAATTGATTTGAGTGAATTTGGCTCGTGACTGGATGATCAACAATAATCACCTATAAGAGAACATTTTGAGCTTGACCGCTGGGAAATAATTTCCTAGTACTTGTGATAAGAAACAAAGGACCGTTTTGGTGATTATAGTAATATATCCCAACAGGGTGCATGAGACGGGCACTTTGAAGACCTGCAGGTTGCAGAGAAGGTGACAGAGAGGGCAAAACGTTCTAAAATAGGCAAAGGGCATCCCTGTGATGTACTTCAGCAATAGAGGAAAATGCTGTTCCTTTCAAAGACGATAGCTTCACGGCTGCTCGGTAGTGGAGGAGGTGACGCAATGTCACTTTCTGCAGAAGCAGGAGACAGATGTCTGCAGAGGGGGAAAGGTAATTCGGTCAATGGGAGAAGGCTTCAGTCACCGAGATATTTTAGAGCTAAATTTAACCAATGTCAAGGAATCGTCCCAGATGTGCTGGGTTTTGCAATATATCTCTGGGCGGTTTGGGATGTGCAAAAGTGAAGCCAAGACATCAGCTGGAGCCAGGTTTGCAGGTGCTGCATTTTTGTGGTTGTCATTGAATGGATCAAAGGAATAACTGCAAGTGAGAAGCAAAGCTGCCTCCTTCCCACTGCCCGTAACACACTCCCAGCCCCATCCAGCTGCGCTTGCGGGTGCTGTGGCACGCTGTGGGTTTGTCGGATTTTTCATTTCGGTGCTGGAGCCAGCCACACATCAAAACTAGGAGAATTATTAGAATGAAAGACAGTGTTAAAATTGTGCACTGATGGAATTGGCACCTTCTTTTAAAATGAAGGTGTTGCTACCCAGAAGCAACGTGTGTTTAAGTACTGGTTAGTACTGGGCCAAGTGAAGTAACCCCTCAGCATGAGAGCTGCTGGCTCTGCTGACACCAAAGGGAGCTGCCTACACCCGTTCCTGAGGTGTGTGTGGCTCATACTTCTGCATAAACATCTCCAAATAAAAAAAAAAGCCAGCACTATTGACATAGCAAAGGCCAGCTCTATTTATATCTGCAGTAAGGCTGCGATAATGAAAAGACGCTTTAATGTGTCCCAAGGCCTAGATGAAACACTGAAAATGTTGCTTTTAAGAAAAAAATGATAATAATATCCCCTTGAAATCCCGACGAATGTGTGTGACGGACTTCTTGAGAGCAATATCAAAGGAATGAAATAGGAGTTGCAGAGCATAGGGAGTTACTGCAGTTAGGGGCTTTGAATTGGTTTAAATCTTTGCTTTTAAGCTTTTTTTTCTAAATATCTCTTTAAAAGTAACACTTTAATGAGAGGGAAAATGTTTTACTGCCGCTGAAATTTAGTAGCAGCACAGATCTGTCAGACCGTTCCTTATTTTGGAGTGTAAATCCTTTCCCTGTGGTTGCACCCGCTGTCTGGCCCCTCTCACGGGTGTCGGGCTCGGGGGGGGCACACAGGCACTGGGGGGCTGCGAGAGGCAGCGTGAACCTCTGCAGAGGGGGACAGATGGGTGAAAATGTTCTTTCAGCACAGGATTTGCAGCTTTATAGTTAGAAAGGAAAGAAATTTTCCTTTTCTGAAAGTCTTTTAGGGGCTTCTGGGTGTTTTTTGAGGCAATTGGAAAAGTGGAAAAAGGAAAATATTTACTCAAAATGCCGTCTTTCGTTTCATCTCGCTGCATCTTTGACCAACTTTAGTCAACTGGTTGTTTTGTGTCGTTGAGCAGGCGTAAAATACAGCTCCCGGGGCATAAGCGCCCTGGAGCACTTCTGAGCAGGTTTACAGGTCTCACAGCTCCTCTGGTGGCACTTCCTTCCTCTAAGAAGCCTCATCATAAATCGTTATTTTGGCCTCATTATGAATTTAGGGTGCAAAGGGCAGTGCTAACCGAGCAGGATGCAGCGGCCAGAGCCCATCACCTCCCCGGTCCCCACTGCTGGAACATCCATGGGTCCTCACCCAGACTGCCCCAGCCAGGCTCTGGCCCCTCCAAAACCTAACACGTGCCTGATGCGTTTTATTTTAACCTTTCCCAGTCAATATCTGCTGTGTTCATTTCTAGTTTGCATTTTTGTCTACTTCTACTAGATCAGACTGCTGTACTTATTTAGTTAATTTGCTAATAACAAGGTATTGTGAAAACTCCACTTGGCAGAAGAAGAGGTGGGCAGTGATCATATAGAAATGTACTGATTTTTGTTAGCCACATCATCCAGAAGAGTTAAATGAAGGGAGCAAACTGTGAAGCCTAGGCTATTTGTTAAAGTTGAAAAGAGATCGAGTTTTGAGTCGTGGAATTTGGTTTTTTGAAGTATGAATGATGATATTCACCCTTTGCCCTTGGAGCAGGGAACGTGCTTTGTTTGGACCATTTGCAGCCCGGAGCGTGCTGTTGGCACTCATCAGATAACTGTTATTATTAACAATGCACAGATGTATTGGCAATTGCTTTTAGGTAGTCAGGCCAGCTGGAAAGAGTATGAAAGAACTTATTAAAGACAGATATTCCGGTGTGAGTTAGAAGATGAAAAGGAAAAGAAATTCTGGTTTATCTGTGTAATTAAAGGCACACTCTGCAGAGGAAAACAAGCAAAAGCGTACGTAGTGCATACAGTTTTCGAAGGCTAACCACTTTAGCTTGCTGAGAGATAGAGTAAAGCTGTATTTTTACATCTTTTGTCCCTTAGATGCCCGTTTGCAAATATAAATAGGCAGGTGCGTTATTTATGTTAAAAGAAGATGAAGGTTGTAAGAACAAGCACCTTGAAACAAGGGAATTGCCATTATCATAGAATCATAGAATCATAGAATCATAGAATCATAGAATCATAGAATCATAGAATCATAGAATCATAGAATCATAGAATCATAGAATCATAGAATCATAGAATCATAGAATCATAGAATCATAGAATCATAGAATCATAGAATCATAGAATCATAGAATCATAGAATCATAGAATCATAGAATCATAGAATCATAGAATCATAGAATGGTTTGGGTTGGAAGGGACCTTCAAGATCATCTAGTTCCAACCCCCCTGCCACATGCAGGGACACCTTCCACTTGATCAGGTTGCTCAAAGCCTCATCCAACCTGACCTTGAATAAATCCAGGGATGGGACATCCACAGCTTCTCTGGGCAACCTGTTCCAGTGCCTCACCACCCTTATTTTAAAAAAATTTCTCCGCCGGGCAGCGAGCACATGCTCCCAGGTTGTTCAGTCTTTGCTGTCGTGGAGGGAAGCCAGGCAAACGCCCTGGTTCCTTCTTTTACCTGTGTAAGGACCATTTTGGGCCCCAGTTGTATCCCCTTTCCTCCCACCCCTTCTTTGGAGCCGTACAGCGTGGCTTTAGCCTAGAAGCGCTCAGCTGAAATCCCTCTTGCTTGTTTTCCGCAGCCCACCACCCAGCCAGCTCCCAAGGAAGCCACACTGTGTTATTGTCTCTCTGATTTCCTATTGTCGACTGGGCTGATTTTAATTGGTTTGTATTTTCAGTTGTTTTTCAGCTCATTAGGAAGGATAATTAAAACAAAATCTTGCCCTCCGTGCTCTGCTCCATCCATCGCAGCGATACTAGCTGAGCATGTTAATCTGCAGAAGGGTGAAGGCAGGGCTCGCTCCCTCTGAAATGTTTGGAGGCTGGTGGTTAAGCATCACGTTATTCAAAAGACATTAAATTGTCCTGAATGAGGAGGAAGCAGGTCTCAATCATCAAAATGATGGACATTAACAGTCTTCTGCCACAGGTTTGTTAAATCTGAACTAGATTTAGCTGCTGCCTGCCTCATTCCCATTCTGCAAGGAAAGCTGTGGACAGGAAACAGGCAAGGAGTAGGAGGCATAAATTCAAGATACCCACAGCTTGGACCAAAAGCCTTATATAAATCCTTTGGATTTCTAGACTCTGGAGAAATACAGTTGGCATTACTGCCTTCTGTCGACCAAGCAGGAAAGTTTAACCGGTAGTCCAGGATACGAACGCTTAAGAGTCTGGAGGTGGCTTTAAGATCTGAGGGTGGTTTAAATGTTACCGGGGGAAGAGGGGGAAGGGGAAGTTACACATTTCTCAACATTTCCAGGTTTAGAAAAACCTGTATGCTGTGCTAGAGGCTGTTAGGATTGGCTCAGTCTCAAAATGAGGAAAATAGGGAAAAAAATATACATACATGACACGCAAGCAGTTAACCAGCAATTTTTTTCAGCTTATTGCTAATATTTGTGTTTGCTATCTTTTAGGAAAATGTGCAACTGAATTTTGAAAGTTTGGCTATTGATTCATAAAGGATTTTGTAATTACTGTTTATATCCCTGCTACCAGCATCACTATTAGAAACCACTAGAGCTGTCCTGGTCTCCCATATCATAGATCTGCCATCGCTGCTGTGAAAAGCAGGCTCCTGCCTTGCTGGGAACTTGTAATAAATAAATGTCGGCGTTTCCTAGCCTGGAGTTAGCGCAGAAACCAATGCTGAGGATTCGTGCGAAGAGGAGAGGCTGCTTCTGCCTCTGTTGGCCGTGATGAAGGGGCTGGAATTGATCATCCTGCCTCTGGTCCAGCAGCAGAGCCGCGTGCAGGCGGATAAACCCCCGGCAGAGCAGGAACCGAGGCGCTGGGACGGGCACGCACCGTTTCTCATTCTGACTGCCGGGGGCTGCCAATTACACAGCAATTACTATCACAAACCTCTGAGACATGTTTCCCCCTCCCCAACCAATTTATGGTTTGCTCATTGTTCAGGAGGCCACGTGTCTCTCCCTGAGCTACCTTGACTTTTTTATTTGTTGGCCTTCATCAGTTAATTGTGCGTCTCAGCCGACTAAGCCCAAGTTGCTCAGTCTTGTGCCCTTGCCAACGTGGCTCTTCATGTCCCTGCTCTCGTCTCTCCTAGAGGTCAAAAATAGCCGTCTACGAGAAAATGTGGTCGTACATGAAGTCGGCCGAGCCCTCGGTGTTCACCAAAACGACGGCGGACGGGGTGGCGAGGGTGCGGAAGTCGAAGGGGAAGTTTGCCTTCCTGCTGGAGTCGACGATGAACGAGTACATCGAGCAGCGCAAGCCCTGCGACACCATGAAAGTTGGCGGCAACCTGGATTCCAAGGGCTATGGTGTAGCAACCCCCAAAGGCTCAGCATTAAGGTGGGTGGAATAATATAACAATATCCATGTTGTTATAGTATTCCACCTACCCTGATGTATTGTGTTGTCATTTTCTTTCTTGTGGATTTTGAGGTAACTTTAAAGTTTAAAATCTTCAATATTCCATGGAGTTAAATAAGACGGTAAATTATGGTTTCGTTTATTTAATGCATCCATTTTTTTAGTGTTCTCTTCGTGTTGTCCTTTCTGATTGTTTGTTGCTGTTTTAATTTTACAGTTCAATGGCTTTTTCAATTTAAATGGTAAAAGCCGAGTTAACCTGCCATATGTGACGAATGTTAACTGCATGATGTGGTGTTCTTGTTACTTTTTTTCTCAAAGACGGTTTCCCCATCCCGCACACTTCAGTTTTGAGCAAATGTTATCCTCCATGCCACCTTCCAATATTTAACCCTGTATTTGCTGTACAGACATTTTGATAGCTCCACGTTCTGTGAAATTTTAGCCAATTTGTCCTCTTGTGCTCCTTTTTTTATACGTTACGATTTCCTAAGCATTTGTGCATTTTTTCTTACAAGTTATGTTTTATCGTTTCAAGAAATGCTGTTAACCTGGCAGTATTAAAACTGAATGAGCAAGGCCTCTTGGACAAATTGAAAAACAAATGGTGGTACGACAAAGGAGAGTGCGGCAGCGGGGGAGGTGACTCCAAGGTCAGCCTCAATGTCACCACAATCGGGTACCTTAGCAAAGAGTAATCGGCAAGGCTGTTATTTTACTTCTCAAGAAAAAAAAAAAAAAGAAAAAAAATATTAAAACCATTTGAGTAATTGTGGTGGGGAAAAAAAAAGCCATTTGCTTGCCCAGTAGCTCTTTCAAAGAAATGTTCTTGTTTAATGTCATCAGCAGGCTTGGTCAAGCTTGGAAACCGTATTTGACTAACAGATAGAAAGTCCAGTATTGGTGGGACCTACGCAGAGCAAATCAGTGCTTGTAACTGTACAAGAAACCAGTGATGGCATCTGGCTGCCGTACTGACCCCTGAGGACAAGGCTTCGGTCCTCCTTCATCATTGAGCCGTGATGTAGAGTGGTTTTCCAGAGGTTTTTATTTCATCGGGGTCAGCTGTGCCAGCACAGACCTGGAGGGAGAGGGTCCCCTTCTCCTCTGCTTTTTTGGGGAGGGGTCAAGTGAACCAGTACCAGCACGTGCTGCTTTACTGGCCTGAACTGGTGCCACCGGAGCCCCTGGGAGGAAGCCTGGTCTCCAGAGAAGAGCCGCTCGAGTGGGTCTGTAGCTCCCGGAGACAAAGGGTGGCTGCTACTCTAGTCGCAGCATGGGATGAGGGTACGAGTCAAGCAACGGTCATAGCAAAGATATAATGTTAAGCAGAGATGGGAGTCACCCATTAATGGTAAAATAATAGCAATAATGGTGATTTGTAAGAGACTAGAGCTGGCAACAGGCGAAGCTGAAACGAGAGAGAGGTTCTGTGCAACAGGCAAGCGAATTGATGCACTAAACTGGAAATGAATCCTAAGGAAAGAGGTTTTGGCAGTGTTGCCTATATTCAGACGTCACCTTTGGTACGCCAGAGACCAGTCTCTGCACACAGCTGTGCGGGAGCACTGCCTCTGTGTTTACTGTGCTTTTGAAACAGATGTGGATCAGAATCCTAGCTCCAGTGGGAGCAGCAGCAAAGCTGTCCCTGCCTTCCGCTGAGCTGAGGCTTCCCTCGGTCTTTCAGAGTTGCTTTCTCAAAGTTGCTTTAATGAGCTTTTGTGTCGCAGAAGTTAACTAGTGTGCTTTCATATTGCCAACTTTACCCTGTAAAACTGGCGATTTTTGCAGTCTTTAACCTGGTGAGGAGAAGATGTAGCTGGAATAGGCCGAGTAGTATTGGTCACGTCGGGTACAGGAATCACCAAGAAAATTAATTTAAAATACATTGTTATACTGAAAAGTACTGAGATTAATTTTCATAGTGACACTCTCCTATAGCTAGTAAAACCAGTTCCTTAAGGAACAATAACTCCTAATCTCTCTTATAAAAATGCTTCAGCTTTGGTCTAAAATCAATAATAACAGTATTTTTAGTAAACTGCAGTTTCAGACAATTACTGCAAATTACTGCTGCGTTCTATTAATAAGAGTTGCTTACAGTTGGCTACATAGGAAATTACTCAGCTACTCATCTCTGATGTTAGCAAAAGCCACGGTGTAATAACAAAGGAAGGAAAAGCTCTGGAATTCAGGTTTGTTCAATAACTGGAGGTCTGCAGTGCTCAGCAGCAGCCTGGCGACGAGCGGGAGCTTTTTTATGTTTTTAGCTCTGCTGCTCATCCTTCACGCAACGTTTTTATATAATGTTACACTTACCAGTATATTAAATGTTTAATATTCTCCTGGGATCAAGCACCGCATTGTCTAATGCTGCCTCCGTGAAAGAAAACTCTTTGTACAAACCAGCTTCAATGAACTTCATTGCTTCGAGTTCATTGAATCAAACCCAGCCAACTCGTGCTTACAGCTCTAAGGAAACTGAAAAGGATTTTTAAAATGGTCATAATTAGGGCAGAGCCTTCCTTCTGTTTTTCCTTGTGCTGAAAGACCTTTTAGAAAGAGCGATTCCATCCATTAGCAAGCCCTTGGCCCTGGCCAGAGAATGGTGAGAGAGTGGAGTGAGGTGTGCCGTGATGCCGTGGAGAAGTAACCAGTGATGAGGGAGGGGGAGCAAACACGATGACGCGTGTTTTGCTCTTTTAGTCTGTAAATTACAAAGCGCTATCTTTCTGCAGTTTGTCATAACACACTGTGATGAAGGAGTACTTGTTTGTTTGACCTATAGATGTCAGCTCCTGGGGGCACGGCTCTGCCAGCAGAAGACCCCAGGGAGGAGAACGTGGGTCTGAGAAGACTTCCCACAAGTCTTCCTCCTAAGCTAGAGGAGATGGGGAAGGGATTAGTTGTTGTTTCTAGAGATGTTGTAACTCAAAGGACTTTTCTGTTATGAAGTGGCTCTACTTTTGAGGTAGCATTTCACAGATGCCTTCCCTGAGCACACACCCCCTGTTGTCGGCCACTACCACCCAGCTCAGGCTGTGCCCCGGCCCCGCAGGAGCCCTGCTGAGCGCCAGGGAAGGCAAGCACCAGTGCTGCCCTCCGGGCACTACAGCCCCAACAGTCTCACTGGCCTCCCTCTCCTCACCTCCGTCCTCCCACCAGAAGCCTGAGTTGCCCTTATCATCTCATCCCATCTCTCCAGTTAATTGTTTATATGAACACGGCTTCATTTATAGAGCATTTCAGAGGAGTCACTTCAAAACTGTTCTTTTTTTCCCTTTTCCATTAAAGGAGGTGGTAGCTGGGGGGAATCAGAGAGGACGGGGTGGTGAAGGTGCCTCGGGTGGAGATGCAGACCTTGCACCCCGTCACACAGGGTGGCACGGGGACCATTACTCACTCCGGGCAGCTCTCTCTACCGACTGAGCTGACAGATCACCTCTCTCAGCTTGGCCAGTAGAGACCCAGCCTTGGGAAATCGCTGCCCCGAGTTTGTAATCAGCCGCTTCCTACGTACTTCCGAGCTGTGCGTAGCGGTGAGTTGTAGCAAACTGATGGCGCCAGTTTCTTAAGCTGAATTCCTCTATGCTATCTGATATTCCAGCTTGCGCTGAAAGCCGGAGGTAAGTACACAGCCTGTTTGCTTGTGCCGGTGCCCATCGTACCAGAACACCACCCAGAACGTGCCCTCCCGTGATCATCCTCCCTGCGGTTTAGTGTGCAGTTCGCCTGTGCTTGGAGAGGAATGATTCCGAGTTCACCTCTTGTTATCATATCTTCATCGCCGTTGGAAAATTACGCAGTGACTTCATATTTCACGAGGATTTTGAGTCTTGCAGCGGGAAGAAGAAAAGGTATCCGATTGACTTTCTGCAAGTTTTCTGATCAATTTGGTTGCGCAGACTGTAAGGTTAGTCCTGTGAGCATCCCGTGCTCCTGGGGTCCACTTGTAATTTAAGACTAAAAAGATGGTGCTGTTTTAATGAGATTGCTTTAATGGCCTCAGCTGACATATGTCTCATTTTCAGTGCTACCAGTATATGCCAGCGCTGGTGTGGAGCAGAGGGTGCCAGTCTGCCCTGCAGTATCTTAGCTGTGGGTGCTGCCCTGGCGAAGAGCGTTATCCCATTTCAGTAGTGGCCCTTGTCTAAGAAGTCCAAAGGAACATGCTCCATCCATATGTAATTTGTGATGCATATGTGTGGGCCGACTTGACTGGTGCAGACATTCTGGTACGTGCATCAAAATTTGTTCACTTAGCTCTCCTAAATGAGCATGGATTTAGTTTCATCTGTTGGATTCATGGCAAGATTATACCATCTTCAAATTCTCTTGTACATGTGAGCTGAGTTCTCAATCGTGAGAGAATGCAAAACAGCAGTTATAAAAAAAACATATTTCAGGAAATATGTTACAGTGTATTATGAGTTTGGAAACTAATTATTTTGTTTATTACACAATCCTATCATCTCAGAGCTGAGTGACGGCTGAATAGGAATTTAACAAGAAATAGACAAAAGGGGATGGAGACAGCAGTAGCAGGCTGAGTGACTTAAGTGAAACTAATTATTCTGTTGCGTAGGAACAATTTTCTGCTAAGATAAACTTCTATAATTCTGCTGTTGATACATTTCTTGTATTCTCATACCTTCACGGTAACATTTAATGGCATCCAACACAGAAGGAGACTGTTCGAATGCAGCATCTCACCAACTTCACGTGCCAAGATTCCTTGCTAAATATTTGACTCAATTTCTTTAATATATTCTTTTTTAGGCTGATATCTCTTTTGGAGTACATCTGTGAAATGACATGCGATGTGATACTACTTCATTTTTCAGTTGTTTCTCTTTAATCGTAGGATTGCTTTTCCAGTGTGCTAGTTGAGTTCTGCCCTCAGAGCCATGCTCCATAAAGCATCGCATTCCCGAGCCTTTCCGAGCTGCGAGCGTGGCCACTAGCAGATGGGATTTGTTCCCCCATTTCTCTGGGCTATTTCGCTTCGATACATTTTCAGCACAGCCGTTAGCATTTGCAGCATAATTTTTTTTAAGTGGCATATTTTTAGAAGAAATCTGTTATGCATTATTTTAGATGATACCTGACATCTAAAGAGCACCGCTGCCAACCGTGTTGTGCTTTAAAGAGAACATTTGGGGAAATGGCTATCTTAAAAAGATGCAGCACAATTTATTTGAGCAATTTGTTTGAAATGATGTTCATCAGCATGAATTGACTTGCCACTCATTCTATAGGCCTGGGTTATGAGCTGGAAAAAGATAAAATGGCTGGTCAGAGCCGATGATAGCAGCACAGAGCTAATTCATGCTCAGAGCTAGGAAAGTAATATGAAATTATTGTATTGTGCAAATTAGTGACAAAGCAAAATACTACTTCAATAAGAAGATATCAGAATATTTGTTTAATTGACAGCTATTACTTTATAGCATATTAGGAAATAATACTGTGTATGTTTTGTGCCAATAATGAACTCTTAATGCTCTAGGAGTTCATCGGAGCATCTCACTTAGAGCGTTGCCAAGAAGGGCAGAGAGCCTTTGCGGAAACATCTGTGCTGTTGTGCAGATTGTTTGAGGGTATTTTCCTGGGAATGTAGCCAGGAGACTCAGACCGAGAATTTGGGGCGAGC